AATGCTTCCCCTAGAACCAAGAGTTCAGTGTCAGCACGATACCCTCAAAACACTGCTCAAGGCAAGAATGGCTAAGCTGGCAGGGGTCGGAAGGGGAGAGGAAGCAGATTTACAGCAAGAAACCACAGGGCTGGGAGAATCAGATGAAGTGAATGGGTGCTTCCAGGTCACACGAGGCCTTGTTTTATTTTACGGCTGGGACGTTCAAGGCCTTCCTTTTCATTTCAATATGTTCTTTATCTGAACTAGTATTGATAGGGTTGTTGGTCAGCAGGCTGAGGTTGCTGGAGTAGAGGGCTTCGGGCTCCACTCTTGGCCGTTCCTAGAGATCTACCTGGGTTGTGGTTACACGTGAGGACCCTGATGGGTGCAGGGGGCCCGGGGTTGGGAGTGGAAGGCAGTGGTCCCTGTGGTCTTGAGAGCAGCAGGTTTTTCTTAACTCAGTCCACAGTGTGTCACCATCATCTTTCTCTGTGCCTTCCCCGCCACATATCACCACTTTATTTTTTCCTGATTCACACTTCCTATCTTGAATGCCCTTTTGTCCCTCATGGCTTATATAAAGTTTACTTTGCCTTCATTATATCTCAAATGAGTCACAGAGAGTTATAGAACTTTATGACAGGAAGGGGACGAAGCCATGTAGTTCAAAGGCTCCAAGAGGCTGTCAAGGTCATTTGACTGGAAAGCAATGCTGCCTGAATTTGAACTTAGGTTCTGATTCCAGTATGCTTTCCATAGAGTGTGGGAGGGTGGCCATCTCACAATGTGACGTTTAATTCTGCGTCCTTCTGACACATGCTGGGCTCCTGTGTTTGTCTTTACCAGACTGCAAACTTGTGGAGAGCGGAAGTGGTCCTTTCTTGTAGTGTATTCCTCATAGCACACCGCAGGATGTTCCTTAATGCGGAAATATTAAGCTACACAAAATAGGGATGTCCTATGATATTTTATTGAGGGAGAGATCACTTACGTGAGAACCAAAGGTTTGCACCCTGCCCGCCGGGCTGAAACTCGAACCTAAAGAGCAAACATCTCCTCCCCTAGCTCTTTAACCCCTCCCCCAAACGGGCGTGGCCAGCGTGTTAGATCTCTCCTAACAGTTCCTAGAACAGGCAAGTCCCGTGGATTATTATTAGTTTTTAAAACATCCTTTAGAAATTGTATGTGCATTAGTGTTTTGCCACAGTGTTGTGTCCCCTGGAGCTGGAGTTACAGACAGTTGTGAGCTGCCATGTGGGTGCTGAGAATTGAACCTGGCTCCTCTGGAAGAGCATTCAGTGCCTTCACTGCTCAGCCATCTATCTCTCCAGCTCCCGAATTATTTACTATTATTTTAAGCAACCGCTGATGGGAGAGATTTTGTTGTGAGCTGAAAGGTTTGGTGAATGGAAACTGGATTCCAAGACTAGAAGTTCTATTAATTGAATTCAAGAGGGACTAACAACTTCCACATGTCCTCAACATTATGATAGTCTTCACTCTAAGTGGGTCAAACTTTCTTTATTATATACTATTTGTTCCAAATAGTGAGAAAGCTCTGTGGGTTGGCTAACATGCCGTGCTTTACTTAATTCAGACAGTCTGTCTGTCTCATGTTCCACCTATGCCTAAGAAACTGGTGATGTACAAGGTTCATATATACATGTGCATATGCATGGAAGTAATAATTAAAAAGGAATCAATAAAACACTGAGAGGTGGGCTAAAGTGTGCTTTCTTCCCCAATTTTATAAAATAAGTATTAATTACTTTATAGTCAAAAAAGCAACAAATTTGTTTTTCAAGACAGGGTTTTTCTGTGTACCCTGGAACTTGCTCTGTAGACCAACCAGGCTGGCCTCTAACTCACAGAGATCTGCCTGCCTCTGTCTCCCGAGTGCTGGGATTAAAGGCGTGTGCCCGGTAGCAATGAATACTTTTAAGTATTACAAAAAGTAACAGTCTTGAAACTTAGAGAGCTATCCTCTTCCACGTCTTGGATGCACTTCAAATGTTCCCAATTTTTGTTTTATAATGAAAAGAGAAAGTCTGGAGGTTATGAGCTGAAATGAAGAAATAAAATCTTTCCTTGTTTTTGATTTCCTGAGTTATGTGCTATACTCGCTGATATCAAAGTAAATATGCTTGTTAATTTCCCTACAACCTTCAGGTTATGAGATGCTTAAAGGAAGATGCTGGCATTCTGAGGGAAAATTTTAGCTGAAATTTGCTACATGATTATCAGCAAGACAGTAAGTCTTCCTGAAGTTCAGGTTTATTTTGTTGGAAAGAGGTCTCAAGTAGCTTGGGCTGGCTTGAACTTGCTACGTGTTCCGAGATGACCTTAAGCGTCTTCTGATCCTCTTACCTCCATCTCTTAAGTGCTTGGGGTCATAGACATGTTTTATATGGCACTAGGGTTCAAATCTTGGACTTTGTGCTTGCTAAGCAAACACTCCACCAATTAAACTACTTCAAAAGTCAATTGTCTTATCAGTGTAGCATCAATAACAGGGAGAACTTGAATAATATGTGCAAATTTTCTTTGTGTTGTGGATATAACTCAGTGACAAAGTTCTTATCTAGCATGTGCAAAGCCCTCTGTTCAATCCCTAGCAACACAAAAAGTAGAACAATGAAATTTGAGATGCTGATACGTCTAATGATAATTATTCCGTCCTGGGTTCATGGGCATCCTTTTAAGGCTCACTGTTCACCATAGGCTGACTATCGCTCTTTTTTAAAGCAACGGTCAGCTCCACATGATCCTCTTACATGTGACCATGACAAAAAATATCACTGTGCTGTCCGCATGGTATCACCCCCTCCTGAGTTCTCTCCACCTTGTTCCTTCCAACTTCTTCTCATGGCCTCACTTAAAAGTTCCCATTCCTATGATGCCTTTTCTGGCCATCCTTCTGGAAGAATTAGCTCTTCTTCTGAGCTGATTCCTTCTAGAATTTCTTGAAATTAATTGTTTATAAATAAGTGTATTTAGCTAGAGGCGTTTATTGATGGTATGTTGAGTTTGGTAGACACAATATAACCCTTTTTCTTGATGTCTACCAGAACCTGACAAAAATGTGATACTTGATTTTGCTACAACTGACTGCATACATTTATTGCAGTAACTTACACCCAGAGAGGTTGAGGTGCACAAGTTGTACAATGTGGAGTGTTAGCTACTATAAGGAAGGATATGAATTGTCAGCTGCAGGCCTTTAAAAAATAAAGGCCAACTTTATTACACAAAACTTCAGTGGCCCACAGTTTTGCCTTAACAACAGCACAGTGTTTTCTGAGAGGTGGTAGAAACAGAAACTCTTTAAATGCATGTTTGCATTTTTTAGTATTTTCAAATACAATCTGGTATAGGAGTGCATATCTGTGATCTTATCACTCATGTGGTAGTGGGCAGAGTGTTACAAGTTTGAGGCTACCCTGGATTATATAGAGAAACACTGTGTCAAAAGAAAAGCATAGGTTATAATCATAAGAAGGACTGGGCGTCATCATCTTCAGTGGTTGAGTTTTCCAAAATTTTAATGAAAAGTAGACATCAACCTAAAGAGCTAAGGCATAAAGTCAAGTATTTAGAGTCTGGTGCTTTCCTAATGTAAGGTAAAGAGTGTTTGTTTGTTTGTTTGTTTGCTTGTTGTTTTTGATACTTCCAATGACCAACTATCTGTGCAAATGTTACAAAATGAATGGGCCTGTTTCATTTTATGGTTAAGTATCTTGGGCTTTGAAATCAGATAGTTCTTTGCAAAGATCCTGATTTACAAGGTGTGGCTTATTGTACAATGTTTCCAAGCCTCCATTTTCTTGTGTATAAATAAGCAACATGGAATGTATCAGGATGAGTTTGGTTATAAGTAACAGCTATTTTGTTCTTTGAGAAGATCTGCCTAAGCAAGAAGTTCAAAGGCACATGGGGAATCCTCAGGGGAAATGTTTAGTCTTTTAGCACGATCATCATCAGGACTGACTTTCCGAGGGACAGTGAGGCCACACACTCCTTCCAGTGTTTCTTGCTTAGGGAGTAAAGGGAATCTGATCTGTAGATGATTGGGTCAGTGGCTTCTTCTCAGTGTAATGGCTGGTAATGAAGAGAGAATTATCCTGAAGGGCACAGGGCAGTCACCTCAGTAAGAACAAGCATTGGGAAGTCAGCCTCAGCAACTACAGAGTCTATTTTTTTCATTTATTTTTGAGAATTTTATACATGAACACGGTATTTCCATCACCACATTTCCTTTCCTCCAACTCTTCTCAGTTTCTCTCAAATTCTCTTCTTTAATTACTTTTGTTACATATATGAATACAGATACTAATGTACATACACAGGTAACCTCTGAGTCTGTTTAATGTTGCTTGAGTATACATGTATTTAGGCCTTATCACGTGGGATTAGATAATTTGTCAGGGGAATATCCCGGAGAAGACTGATTTTTTTTCCCCTCTCAGCAGCCATTGGCTGCCTGAAGCTTCGTATCTTGGGATTTGTCTTGTGAAATTTCTCCCATCCTTGTTGGCATGTCAACTGGTAGCATCATTCTGCAGGTCTTGTTTAGGCAAGCCCATTGTTAATATTTCATGGGTACAGCTTTCTTGTCAAGTCTAGAAGGCACTGTCTCTCAGCAGGCATCCTTGTCCTCTGGCCTTTAAAATCTTTCTGTTCTCTTTTATACAGAGCCAACTTTTAAATAAAGTAAAAAGAAAAACTGTACAATTTTATTGTTTCATAATTTGGTAAGCAAAAGACAAGCTTGTTTTCATCAACCAACTACTTGTTCAGACCTAAAAGGCTCACCTCAGATTTGGGATATGTAGCAATCTGTTTTGCACTATCCTTTTCCATGCGTGTGTGTGTGAGTGCATGCGTGCATGCGTGCATGCATGTGTGTGTGTGTGTGTGTGTGTGTGTGTGTGTGCGCGCGCGCGCGCATCAGCATGTGGAGGAAGCCAGAGGACAAGCTCAGGTACTAGTCTTCAGGCCTTTTTTTTTTTTTTTTTTTTGAGACAAAGTCTCTCAGTGGCTGGAGCTTGGCAAGTAGATTGGGATGACTGGTCAGTGAAGCCCAGGGAGCTTCAAGTCTCTGTCTGCCCTGTGCTGAGATTGCAAACACATGCCGTCATGTCTGGACTTTTTACGTAAGCTCTACGGTGTGCACACAAGTCCTTTGCTTACTAGGCGTGCATTTTACTAACTGAACCTTCCCCCCACTCCTACCTTCTTCATTTTACTTAAAAAGTCATTCTTTCCTTGGTCTTAGGTGTAAACATTCCAATAGACAATATTTCATATTACACAGTAGCAAGAATGAAGCTTCCTAGCTTCCTCTTCTGCAGAGGCTGTTTCATAAAAGTTAACCAGATTCCAAACTCTCAAAGGCTCTACTTTAATTCTGTCTCAATGGCACACCTAGATATTGGGGCATCATGTATCATCTTGTCTCTAGTTTCCCAAGGAGCTATCCTTGTCTGCAAGTTGTAGCCAAAATATCATTAGAAGGGTTGCCTTTGGCACTCTCAATAAGAAATCAATAAATTAATTATGTAAAACAAAATTTTAGTGGTTTTATTTTTCATTTTTTCCAGCTGCTGGATCTGACTGTGTGGGTCTTCATGCTTCAGGACTGTCTGCCAGTCCTTCTCAGATGCCGTCCTTTGGAAATGGTCTGAAAGGCGTGGATTTTGTTGTGAGTTTGGTCTTGTGTTAGGAATGAAGTAATTCCATGTGAAGTTTCGTTGCTTTTGTATGAGGTGTGGGTGAAGAAGACCTGGCTCACTCTTGTCCCTCCTACTTCAGAGGTTGGGTCACCTTGTGCAGACCATTTCTTGTGGGTCTTGGTTGTCTCTGATGAAGAGTGGAGATGGTGGGATGAAGGAGGTCATTAGCATAGAAAAGCTTCCTGTGTATTTTAGCCCTGTGATGATGCTAATTAGTTTTCTTTCATGGATAGCTTTCCTAGTGTAACATGGTCGTCAATGGGCAAGACTATGTAAGAGGAAGGCATGAAGCGAACAATGAAATGATTTGATCTAGATGGGACACATTATGCCTAAAGAAAGCATTCTCTATAGATTCCACTCTACCCTTGACTTTTCCAGTTGTCTCAATGGAGCCTCTAGCGCTTAGAAAAATATTCGACTGAAGAGCAAAGTCCCTCCCTCCTCTCTCTCGCCTCCTTTCCCCCTCCCTCCTTCCCTCTCTCCCTCCCTCCCTCCCTCCCTTCTGTTGGGAGGGTTTCCCATCTCATCAACATAAAGCAATGTCATGTGGCTGTGCCTGGTGATGCACACCTCTAATGCTAGCACCTAGGATGCAGAGATAAGCGCATCTCTGAGAGTTCGAGGTCATCCCATTCTACATAGTGAGTTCTAGGTCAGCCAGTACTCCATAGTGAGAGCTTGCCTGTGAACCAAGCAAAACCCAAGCAAAAACATGGTATCATGTGTTTTTCTATGTCCCGAGGGACAAACATGCCATGCCATGCATATACTCATTGAATCAGTAAAATGTACTTAACCTTTTTCTTTTTCTTTTTCTTTTTTGTGTGTGGAGGGGGACAGGATGGCTTCAAACTCACTCTATTGTCAAGTCCTGCCTGAATCCTCCTGTCTCTGTCTCCACAGTGCTGGGATTGCGTCCACGGCCTATCACACCCAGCTTGAATGTTAGTTTCTGTAGGGTTCTTTTCTGTCATTCAAGACTGAACCAAAATTATCTTTGAGAGAATAAGACCTACCATTCCTTAGGAAGTGGTGTCAAGTAGCATGTTCCCTAGGGACATTCCTTGGCTTCATCTTAATGGAAACTGATTCTTCTCAAGCCTTGAGCTGTAGCATTAAACTGGAACATGGAAAAAGCCATTAGCTCAACAGTCTTCAAGACGGTAGAAGCTATTTGATAAGCCCTGGCAAAGGACCCCTGCCAACCTGACTTCTCTAGCTCAGGGAGTTCAGCTCTGGTTCCAACACATCTCCTACCAACAGATCTTCTCTGCAACAGAGCAGGGTTCCCTAGTGGTCTTCACTCCATCCACTGGCCAACTGGGTACATGTCATTACTTTCTCCATTTAGTTCTCCTATTTCCTTTTCTTCTCTTCTTCCATCCCATTGTTTTATTGCTTTTTTATTCTCTTTCATGGCTGTAAGGTGGTAATTAGGTCATGACTGTCTGATAGGGAAACCGCTAACCACACGGGCTCATTTCATTTAAGTCAATTGGAGTTTGAAAAAAATGAAAACTTCAGTTTGCCTTCAGTCCTACTACCCATTATCCAAGTGCTTCCTAGTCACTGACTGGCCACTATAGCGACTGTACTTCAACGATCTGGGAGCAGATCATCCAAGGAAGTGTCTCTTAGGTTTCCCTGCCTCTCATTTTTAGTTTAAGAAACACCCCCCTCCTCTGACTTTCATTTGTCTGGGGAGTGCGAAATGAAAGACGTTATTTTCCTTCTCTTCCTCCTCCCCCTGTGGTTTTTTTTTTTTTATTCCTACCAGCAAAGAGTTTGCACTCTGACTGAGGGTGCCAGAGCTCTTCGGGCTATCAGATGAGAAGATTCACGCAGGGCTCAACTAGCTCAACTAATGGTGCAAGAATGATTAGAGTCAAGGAAAGAGTTCGGATGAAGTTTGTGCAAGATTTAGGCTGTCTAAGGGAGGGCCTCTCAGAAGGGCAGTAAAACAGGAGGTGGGAATCACCTAGGACCTGTCTTTCCTTTACGCTACTATTCTTTTTCGTTTTTGTTTTTCCAAGACAGGGTTTCTCTGTGTAGCTTTGGAGGCTGTCCTGGAACTCGCTCTGCAGACCAGGCTGGCCTCGAACTCACAGAGATCCACCTGCCTCTGCCTCCTGAGTGCTGGGATTAAAGGCGTTCGCCACCAACACTGGCACATTGTTATTCTCATCTGCCGAGCATTTTGCCCATTCCTGGAAGCATGTGTCCCCATCCTTCACTCTAATGGGTTCACATTCATTTCTCTAATTTTCCAGCCACACAATAAGAAGGTTTTCACCCTGGTGACTGCACTCACTCATTCCAAGAGTCGGGTGCTAGTGGCTGACAGAGAACATGGCTTGCTGGCTTCCTCTGTGGGCTTCTGAGTCATTAATTGTTTGAAGTCTTTCCCTGGAACTCACTTAATGTTTTACTTTGCTCCCCTGAGAAAGAAGAAGTCTTACCTTCCTGTTAGCCTGCATACTGTTCCCTATGACAGAGACGTCATCTGTTCATCCGTCCATTTGTCAGTCCATCCTTCCATCCATCTCCTTATGTTTCTGAGGAGGATGACTCTGTCCCCTGAGCACTGAGGGTCTAGATAGGTACCACCATGCTCATTCCCTCTTTTTTTTAAATATATATTTTTTCATTCCCTCTCTTGTCCTGCTCTTGGGCAGCAGACTGATGTCAAGTCTCTGTAAGCCTCACTTCTTTAGTCAGTGCTGAGAGACAATGAGCCGAGGATAAGCATTCCTGTAGGGCTTAGGGATTCGTTTCTTGCTTGCTGCTCATTGCCGCTCTCAATAAATGATTTCTGGGTGAATATTTAATGGCTGTCTCAGGAAAACAGTGTGTAATGCATGCTGGGAGCAGAGCTCAGCCATGCTGACTGGGCAGAGCTTTGTCTTCGCACAGTGTTTGTCCAGAAGCGACTGATGCAGGCTGGGGGAGATGGCTCAGCAGTTAAGAGCGCTTGATTTTGCGGGGGGACTTGGGTTTGATTCCCAACTCCCATATGACAGCTCACAACAGTCTATAGCTACAGTTCCAGGAGATCTCTAGTGCTCATATTTTGGCCTCTGAGGGCACCAGGAATTCATAGACACACATGCAAGCAAAACACTCTCACACACAAAGTAAAATAAATCAAATTTTCAAAGGAAAAGAGTATGCAATGCTTAAGGTTGCATTCTCTTTGGAGTTTTACATTAAATCCACCCCTGGTTACTAGAGGCTCCATTGTGTATAGTTTCATAATACTTTTGTAAATGAACATGTAGAACAAAAATTCTCTTTCAATGATGTACTTATATATCTATTCCTTCTTCTAGGTGCTGACATTTTTGTCTTCTTTGTTCCTTTTTCCACCTCATTAAAAATCTCTACTTGTGCCTGATGGGACACATGCCTTCAATCCCAGGACTTGGGAGGCAGAGGCAGGTAGATCACTGTGAGTTCAAGGCCAGCCTGGTCTATAGAACTAGTTCCAGGACAGCCAGGGCTACAAAAAGAAACCCTGTCTTGAAAAGCAAAACAAAAATCACTGCTTGCAAAATTTTAATATTTTATTAAATTAAAACATTTCTGGGTGTGATGATACCCACTTATTATCCTAGCACCCAGAAGGCACAAGTAGGCAGATCTCTGTGAGTTTCAGGCCAGCCTGCTTTACATAATAAGTTTCAGAACAGCCAGGGCTCTGTAGGGAGGACTTGTCTCAAAAAACACAAACAAACAAACAAAAAACTGAAACAAACAAACAAACCAAAAATCCAAAACAAAGCCAAAGCAACAACAACAAAAACAAACGAAAAAAATGGTATTAAACTTAAAAAAAAATAGTCTCGCATACCCCAGGCTGTACTTAAACTTACAGTATAGACGGGAAAGACCTTGAATGTGTGGTCACCCTGCTTCCACCTCCTGAGTGCTGAGATTGCGCTGGAAAAATCAAGAGGAGAAAAGCTAGGTCTGGGTAGTGCTGGAGATCGAACCCAGGCCTTCACGAGTGCCTGGCAAACACTCTTCCAGCTGACCAGCTTCGCCAGACCTTCTTGTGGAACTTCTTCAGGAAATGATCTCCTGTTCATCTTTGAAACTCGGGTCACAGCCTGTCATCTGGCTCACGATGGGCACTATGTGGTCAGTGAGCAGTGAGAGTCTTCACGCCCAGCGGATGCTGCCTGTAGTCCCTCCACACAGACGCCCTTGGATACCCTCCCACAGGTTCGGAATGCTTTATCCCTCATCGCCATGCTCCGTAACCTTGAGAGGCCTCTCTCTGAGCTCTTAGATAAGCTTTCCTCAGAGTTTCCAGGAGCTAGGTGGCTCGCATCCTTTGGGACTAGCCTGGAGCCGGTGGTTTACCATACAGGCTCTTTAATGGTGGAAAGACGAGGCAGCATTCTCTAGTCGGTAGTTTATGGACACGGGTGTTTCTGTGCGACGCAGTTCCTTTCCTTCACTTTGTAATCGCCGTGAGTTTGCTGTCCACAAGGCGCAGCCAAATGAAACCCCAGCTCTTTTGCCCCAAAGTGGGTCAAACGAAAGTATCCTTCATCCCGCGCAGATGCAGATGCAGGCTGGGGCTGAATGCAGCCTCGCCGTCTTTCCCACGCTTGCTTTCCCAACCCTCCCAGCTTCGCCAGAGAACCCTTCTCATTCACGCAGGAATCCTCTTTGCAGGTCCTGCTTTCTGGGGAACCCTATCTAAACACCTGTGCTTGTGCTCGAAGCTGGAGCTGTATGGCAAGGTTTTGTTTTTCCTGATGTTTATATTGAAAAAAATGAAAATGTTCCAAACATGCAGAAAACATATCAGAAAAGTGTTCAAGATGGGGATTTTGTAATGACTCCCCAGTTTCGTTTTTTGTTTTGGGAAATTGTACACACTGGGTAAAAACACTGATAGGGAGAGCTGCTGAGTTTTTTTGAACAAAGGAAATATATGTTTCTTTTCCCCCTGTGGTGTGTGTGTGTGTGTGTGCGCGCGCGCGCGTGTGTGTGTTTGTGTATGTGTGTGCGTGTGTGTTTGTGTGTGCGTGCGTGCATGCGTGTGTGCGCGCGTGTGTGTGCGTGTGTACCTGCATGCATGCTTGTGCATGTGCATATACATGTTTATTTGTGTGCTGTGCATGCTTGTGTGTGTATATATACATGTTTGTGTGTGTGTCTGGGGTATCAGATTCAGGACTTTATACATACTGAAGCTTGTGTTGAAGAAGAAGAAGATGATAATAATAATAATAATAATAATAATAATAATAATAATAATAATGAGGAGGAGGAGGAGGAGAAGGAGAAGCAGCAGCAGCAGAAGAGCAAAAACCAAAACAACGCCAAAGCAGAGCAGTACCCCCAACCCCTGGGAGGTGGACACTGATGGCAACTGAGAATGCCCACACGCTGGAGCTGAGGACATGGGACCCTAAGGCATGAGTCACAGAGAAAACACAGCAGGTATGAGCCAGGCATTCCAGCACATTCAGGAATGTCACTAATTCATTTTCCAATACTTGGGGAAAGGTAGTCAACTGTGTCACACATACCTCCCTGCCCTCTCCCATCTCTCCTCAAGCTAGTGTCATCTCTACAGTCTCCCCAGATCTGTTTCTCCCACTGTCCCAAAATAGTTAGCCAACTTTTTTTCATCCCATCTCCCGATGACTCCAGCCACAGCAGGACCTGAAATGCCAACGGAAAGAGCAACAGCTGAAAAGCGCGGCTTTCTTAATGCTGTGTCTGTTTTCCTAGAGCAGATCACTGGCGTCTTAAAGGGACGGTAAATAGACCATCAAGGAAATCATAAGCCATCATTTCAGCGGTGTCAGGAGCTGACACCATTCTGAGAGGAGGGAAGAGCAACAAAACAAAATTACCCGAGTCCAGACAGCTCCACTCTGCACAGGCACCGGGTGAATGACACTTGGGGAAACACACACATCAGTATCTTTTAAGCGGAAACTCTCCCTTAAACCCTTGGGAGGATGACGGCTTGACACACAGAACACATACCTTTGTAGAGGCTATTTAACCCAAGATTGATGACCGTCCATTTCCCCCAGATTCATTTTATTTCTTTTCTTTTTGTCACTGTTAATGGTTCATAAGCATAGATGTCCCTATTATGTCCCTCGCCTTCATTTGAAATCACCATTAAATTGCTCCCTAAAAACATTGCACAGTGACCACAGAGCTCACCGTGCTCTAACTTCATAACCCTGCCCCCTCTCCCTTGGGCTTTGCATGCTTATGTGCCAGTCCTGTGGCTCTGAGTGTGTAATCAGGCCCTGTCCCCTGCTGAGCACCATCAGGAAAATGGCAGCTCTTGCTGAGAGACAGCAGAGCCCTTCCCAGTCATGGAGACGGGGAAACATGACAGATATGACAGACATTTCCAAAGCTGTGTGAAGCATTAATCTTAATGTATGCTGTGTGTCCCTACTTAGTAAATATTTATTTGACTGTGAAAGATAGGGGTGGTATTCACTGCTTACTCTTGAATAGAGTTTCTGGTGGAGCCCCAACCCCTTTACCTTGAGGGACTCCATCCAGGAATTTTAACAACAAAACACGGGAAAAGAAGAGATTCAAGAGGCAAGGTTTCCATTCTGGAGTCACTGTGAACATTCTCCTCTGTTAAGTCTGAAGTATTTCCTCTCTCAAATGGGCACAGTGTCCACTGGCTCAGCAGCTAACAAGAATCATGTTTAGCTAGAAAGTAATCCCTAGGCTACGTGGCTTGCCAATGAGATCCTACTTAAAGACCTGTCAATTTAGCTTACATAATCTGTTCTAGCTTCCTTGCATGAATTTTCTGTTGTGGTCTTCCGAGATCCTTTCTACCCAGTCTTCTCTGAGCATCTGTCTGGGGCCACCAGCATGTAAAGAAGGTTATTTTTCTCATAATTAGATGGATGGAGAAATTGGAAGGTAGCAGACTGGGTCATAACGAAAATGCTACCCACACAGTGGTAGCTCCTTTCACACGTGCTATCTTAGTTAACTCAAACACTTCCCTGTGATGCGGGTGCCATTGTCTCTATGCCACCAAAGAGGAGGAAGAGAAAACCGAGATGTTTGGAGAGAGGAGAGCACTCTTTCCCCAGGGTCACAGAATTTGGATAGCAATCTGAAATTTTCAAATCTGGTCTTTTGTTCTGTCTGCAATCCCCTAACAGAGCATTGTATACATAAAGGCACTTTGTAAATCTTAAATCTTTACAAAAACATTACTTACCGCTACTGCGGATAGTAAAAAAAAAATGTGCTTGTTAGTTTTGTCTGGGTGGCCAGCCATCCAGGACATTTCTAATGAGTCAATGAACCTAACCAGGGTGAGGGGATGAGCTGCCAAGCTTTTCATGTCAGCTTTGTGTGCACTAATTAAAAACCATGCCTGGATAAATGGCCCAGGATGGCAAAGTCCACAGCTTCTCACAGATGGATACAAGAAGTCTCATGGTTGGCTGGAGAGGATTTGGTCATGAATAAGATGCAACCTCAAACCTCCTTCCTCAGCTCTGTGTGACCTGGTACATTAATATTCTTTGTATAAGTAGCAAGCTGTGGTGTGAAAGTCAGGTGACTCCAGACATCAATTACCTCTTGACGCATACATGTTAACAGTGTGCTTATTTTATTGTATATAAATAATAAAATAAATGTTATTAATATAATATATGAGATGATATGTTATAATAAGCATAATATATTTAGTATAGCATACAAGGAGAGTGATATACACTGGACCATGAGACTGAGCTCTAAAATATTAATCCATTATTAGGTTTTTGCTTTTACTCTTTCAGTCCATATTGTTTATCTCGGCTATATCTCTTAAATATCCTTTGACCTTTTGAAAACTGCTTTATTTACCCAGTTTGCTCTCTTCAATTCTTCGTATTAAGTGGAACATCCTTGGAATGTTCCCTTGATAAAAACATATATTAAGTTTCCCAGGGAATAGATAAGTTTGAAAAATTTGCAAGATTATTACTCATCCTGTATATGTAATCACCTGAGCAGGGGTATTATTTGCTGATGATTAATATGAAAATGGATCACATATGATCTACAAGTAATATGATTCAGGATTTATGACCTCAATAGCAGTCTTCAACTGTGTAACCTGAGCAAAAGTTGAATACTTGGCACAAATTGACCTGTAATCTTAGATCCCAAACTCAATGTCAGATTTAGCATTGGTACTGATTTTGGAGACAAGGTTTTACTTGGCACCACACTGAATATTTTCACATATGTTATCTCATCAAGGCTTAAACAGACCTGTGAGGAATGCCATGCTTTGCATTTATAAACACAGATAATGAACTTGTGGGAGACGTGGTTATTTGTTCAGGTTCTGAGCTGGGGTGTACACTAGAATTGATACTTTGCTTGCTTTCTTGGCCGCTCTCCCTTTCTTCCGTCTTAAAAGATTTTATGTACATTTGTGTCTTGCTATGGGTTTCCAGTTCCCTGGAACTGGAGTTACAGACAGTTGGAAGCTGCCACGTGGGTGTTGGGAATTAAACCTGGGTCCTTTGGAAGAGCAACTAGGTCTCTTAACCACCGAGTCATCTCTCCAGCCTCCCTCTCTCCCTCTCTCTCTATTTCAGGCAGTGTCTCAACTCTGTAGCTTAAGCTGGCTCCTCAGACTTACATTAATGCTCCCGCCTCAGCCTCCCAGGTGTTGGGGTTGTAGTCATGAGAACCATGCCCAGTCTGAACCCAGGGTTTATAAATTGCAATTACATGATCAAGCTGGCATTTGGTACAACCAGCTCCTATTGTTAACCAGATACAGTAAATCGGACAATGAAAGAAGCGCCAAGCTGTCATTGTTCATGGTGTCCATCAGTCGTCTTGAGAGAACTGTTTGAGGCCAAAGCCCTGTTTTGTCCAACACTTAGCTTGAGCGAGGCAAGCTAACAATGCTCCTCCTCATGAGTTCCCCACACCTGGGTTAGTTACTGCTCTCACTGCTGTGGCAAACCGTGAGCCAAAAGTAACTTCCCGTAGTGCTTATTTTGGCTCACAACAGAGGCGCAAGGCAGCTGGGCACATGGCATCCGCCATCAGAAAACAGAGAGAGGTGAGTGCCGGCGTCAGGACCCCAGCCCAGGACCCCAGCGTGCACCTTCCTCAGTGGTTTAATTACAGCCTCTCTCCTAGATATCCTCAGGTGTGTTTGTTCTGTGAGGTTCTAGTGTAGCGGGAGGCTTTTCCTTGCTAGCTGCTTTGGTTTATCACCTGCCAGTCGCAAGGGCTCTGTCACGTTGTAGTCCCCAAATAACACACAGGACGCTGTATTAATTCCAAAGCTGTTGGCCTGGCTTGTTTCTTACTGGCTAGCTCTGACTTAAGTAATTACCCCATAATTGTTAATCTAAGTATTTCTCTTACCGGAGAAGTTTCCGGGCTTCCTACCCCATGGCGTTACATCTCGACTCCCTGTGTTTCTCCTTCTCAGAGTTCTCCTCGACTCCTAGTCCCACCTATCTTGCTTTCCTATTGGCCAACAGTGCTTTATTGACGTATACACAGGACTTCCCCCATCATTCTAGAATCTGCTTTTTGATGATCAGTCTTAGCCATCACAACACTCTACCAAGGTATAGAGATGGTGACTGTGTTAGTCAGGGTTCTCTAAATTAACAGGAATGGTAGCATTGATAAACTGGTATTGAATATACAGGCACACATATAAGGGGGTTTATTAGAATGGCTTACAGGATGTGGTCCAGCTAGTCCAGTAACGGCTGGCTACCAACGCAAGGCCCAGTACTCCAGTAGTCGTCCAGTACATGAGGCCGGGTGTTTCAGCTGGTCTTCAGTATATGCTGGAATCCTGAAGAAATGGACTTGCTAACAAAAGCAAAAGCAAGCTGGCAAAGATCAAGAGCTTCCGTCTTTCACGTCCCTTACGTAGGCTGCTCCAGAAGATGTGACCTACGTTAAAGGTGAATCTTCCCACTTCAACAGATCCACATTGCACGTGAGTTTTCCTCCCTCAAATGCTTTAATCAAGAAAACCCATCACAGGTGTACCATGCCACCTGGGTTTTAGTTAACTCAGATATAGTCAAGCTGACAACCAAGGAGAGCTATCCCAACACCTACTATAAAATTGATAACGTCTGGTCATTAATTGTTTCAAATAATTGCCTAGGGGATGACGCTTGAGGTGGAGTAGGCTCATCATGAACCCTCTAGAAATGTTTTTTGTGATTTAGACTCCTTGTTCTAGAATAGTCACAGAAATCATTATATACTTAACGTGGGATAAATGGCTCAGGCTCACTAATTTGTGGAAACTAATCTTTAACTTTTTGACTTGGAAGGAAGACAATTCCGGAAAGGTAAGAAGGATAGATGAACTTTGGTTTTTTTCTTTCTTTCTTTTTTTTAAATAAAATTTTCTTTGAAAATTCCATTTATTTATTGAACTTTGGTTTCCACGAGGAAAGGACGAGGTTTCGTGGCCAGTTTACATCTGTGTTCTAAAGATGCATTTCATTTTTATGTTATAAAGAGTGGGTAGTTTATACCTCCACATCCGGACCTAAGTCAAGTCAAGGAGAAGCTTACATTTCTGTCAGGAGGTAGCAAATCCCTCCAAATCCGAGGACGGTTTTTCTCTCGGTGAATTCAATGCCATGTGACAATTTATCTGCGTTAGACAATGAAGCGGAGTGGCTTAGCCATGGTCGTATTTTGTGTACTAAAACCATTGTGGAAGTTGAATAGTTCTAGGATGGCTTGGAAACACTGCTTTCAAAGGCCATGGGCATAGATTATGTTGCACTTAGTCTCAGAAGAGTGAACACAATGGGAGAGAACTTCATGGAAGGCAGCAGGTGAGCTTTTGTCCCTGGAGCTCTCCCAGGAGCTTTCACTTCTCCTGACTAATTGACGGCTCCTCACTACACATCTCTGACCTTGAGCATTGCGGGGGGCACACCAGAGTAGTTCCCAACCCTCTGCTCGACAGCTTCACCGGAGTACCTTGCACACAAACCCCGATCACCTGACTGATGAAGTAGGTCCTGTCTCTGTCCCTCCTGTCTTTCTCAGTTGCAGCGAGGGCCACTGTTGACGCTTCTCGTCTCTTGTCCCACGCTGTCCATCACCTTGTTCTGCTAGCCTCACTACGGCGCTCTCCCCCAATGCCATCTCTCCCACCGTGTTTCTCTGTGCTCTCCTCCAACGCCAGCTCTCCCACCGTGTTTCTCTGTGCTCTCCTCCAACGCCAGCTCTCCCACCGTGTTTCTCTGTCATTGCCACTACCTTTAACTTTTCTTGCCAAGATTATTGCAGACGTTTTTCTGCAATCTCTGCTTCCGGAGTTGCCCCTCTTGAACTCAGTTTTGCCCTCTGTGGCTAGCATCTTCTTCCTAACAGAGCTCCATGACGTACTTCTCTGTTTAAAGACTGTTCCCTCTCCTTGGGTGCAAGGTAAAGTTCAAGCTTGCTCAAATGATTTGTAAGATGCTTCAAGATCCAAACCCAGTTTCCCTCTTCAGTCTCGGTACCTGCCCCTCCCAGCGACTACACCATCTCCAGAAATGCAGACCTGCCCGCTTTTAGGATAGGCTTTCTTAATTCTGTTCATGTCCATACGTGTTTCCTTCTGCCTAGAATCCCAATCTCTATTTTCCTCCCCCATCTCTACATACATGGCTGGTAACACGTGTATTCACTGAATTTCAGTTAAATACTTCACACATATCATCTCAGTTAATTAAAAATAATTGAAGGTAAGAGCACTGCCCGTATTTTGGAGAGAAGGTAATTAAATATTCAGAGGACTGGGGTAGGAGTTGGAGAGGTGGCTCTTGAGAGGATCCCTGTTCATTTCTTAGCGCCCACGTTAGGTGGCTCACAATAATCCATAATGCCAGTTCCAGGGGATTCAACACTTTCCCCTGGTTTCAATGTGTACCTGTGCTCACATGCACATTCCACACCCAGACACACGCATAAGTAAAAAACAATAAAAAGTACATGCTTACAGTGCTTGCGGAATTGTCAATTTTACAGGATGTTTAAGGTAACTCTGAGGCCATGCACTGATCTCTACAGCATAATGTTTGAAAATTTAAGTAGAAAAAGTAAAAGCACTATTGGGGAGCCTGAAAGGCAACCATAATATGGTTTTGTTCTTTACCTTCAGGGTAGCAGTTACCAGCTTTCGCCCATCCAGAACTGTAAATCTTCTGAAAGACTCCTGTGACTGTCACCATAACCTATCCAGGTAATATTGATATGAATTACTAATATTATGTTTTTTCATTCATCCATGCAAGCCTCTCTGCTTGTGTGCCTACTATGTTGGTAAATTGATTAATATTTGTTTGGATATTTGTCTCTTCATCACTAGACAATGAATGCCCAAATAATCAATAGTAGTCTTGTTTCTCTGTAATTGTTCTGGTATCCAACATGATATTTGGCACAGGGTAGGACTAGGGTGTGTATTTTCAGAGTAAATGAGTCAAGGTAGTCTAAAACCTTTGTTTTTGGTGAGGACTAGCTATATCAGATTTATGATGATGTATAAGTGTTCCTCTTACGTCATCACTCAGTGACAAACCAGAGTGAATGTGAGGAGAAAGCAATGGCGCTTGGTTGCTATGCGTGGATGTAATCATGTGACTCCTCCAATGAGAACATCCTGGTATTCAATTTTGTGTCTAGGGGTCAAGATAGTGTCTATATTTTGTTCAGCATAGCCAGTGGACATATGTTAATGACTTTCCCTAGTGTCACTGAACACTGACACTACAGGAACAACTGGGCTTGTTGGCCTTCTAGCATCATTGAAGAATTGTATTAGATAAAACTTTAAAAAGTGCATTATGGGGAGGGTTTCCGTAGTGTAGTGGTTATCAATCTCGCCTAACACGCGAGAGGTCCCCGGTTTGTAACTGGGCGGAAACAGGGTTTTATAGGGGCTGGAGAGATGGCTCAGAGGTTAAGAGCATTGACTGCTCTTCCAGAGGTCCTGAGTTCAATTCCCAGCAACCACATGGTGGCTGACAACCATCTACAATTCAATCTGGTGTATATGTAATAAATAAATCTTTTAAAAAAAGTGCATTATGGGATGCCCAATAATAGTTTTTTTCCATGCATAGCTTCCCCCCCCCACACCAAACAAGCAAACAGAACAAAGCGAAACACCAGAAACTACATTTCAAGACTGACTATAATGTTAAATGGTGGAGATGGGTAACATAATGTTGTTAGGTACTAAAGTTTTGTCTTCAAAAATTTTATGCGTGGCTTATAATTTGTGAACAGCAGGCAACAGAAAGCTTTCAGTGAACTGACCTGACTGTTCTTGGTTGCACGACTGATAGGTTGTCATCGATAACCTGACTCAAAGTGCCTAGGTCAACATAGACCTATTGAGTCATTACTGCTAACCAGTCAGGGCTGTCAAGGCTATGGAGTGTGTGTAGAATGGATGTGCTAACATACACATTACGGTTTAGACTTGAAATGTCTTTCTAAGTCTTGTATAGTTAAAGGTGTCATCCCTATCATGGTAATGTCAGGCATGGGGTTTGGAGAAGTGGTTAGATCATAAGGGAACTAACTTCATCACTGATAGACTCCTAATTTGATGGTGTTGTCGAGAGGCCAAGGACAGATAGAATCCAGCTGTAGGAAGAAAGTTACTGGTGACATGCCATGGAAGGACATATCTTCTTTATTTAATGTAATCTTTGTCTGTCTATCTATCTATCTATCTATCTATCTATCTATCTATCTATCTATCTATCTATCATCTATCTATCTTTCTATTTGTCTGTCTATCATCTATCTATCTGTCTATTTATCATCATCATCATCATCTTTCATTTATTTTGTGTGTATGTGTGTGAGTTTATGGATGCCATGGTGCATTTGTAGAGGTCAGAAAACAGCTTGCATGGTCAGTTCTATACCTCCACCACAGGGGTTCTTGGGAATTTGAACTCAGCTCATCAGGCTTGGTGGTAAGTCCCTTTACCCACTGAGTTATCTTGCAGGCCCTTAAAGGGCATGTCTTGTGTCCAGTGCCCCTATCTCATTCTCTTTGCTTGCTGGCTGCTATGAGGTTAGCAACTTTGATCTCTAATGTGCTCCCTGACACAATGTTCTGTTTCACCACAGGACCTTAGTGGTGGAGCCTATTGATCTTGAACTGAAACCACGAGCTCATATAGCATCTTTTCCCTTTAAAGTAGCTTACCTCAGACATTTTCCACAGAGATGGAAGCTGTTTGCTACAGTAAAAATAAGAGGAACAATAATAATGATGATAGTGATGGTAGTCAGGGAAGCAGAAGAGAGATTCCAGATGATTATAAGTGAAGATTAGAATCTAGGTTTGGATATGGGATAGGAAAGGACCCCAGATCAACATCATCAGGACAGAGGCAACATACAAAATATATGAAGCTTGGTGAAGACCTATCAAGTTTAGAATGAGGTCCTAGCATTTTTTAAAATTATTTTTTATTTAAATTAAAAACAATTTTATTTTACATACCAATTACAGTTCCCTCTCCCTCCAGTCCTCCCATCCACCCACCATCTCCCCATCCGCTTTTCAAGGAGGGTGTGACCTCCAATGGGGGATCATCAAAGTCTGTCACATCATTTGGGGCAGGACCTAGGCCCTCCCCCATGTATCTAGGCTGAGAGAGTATCCCTCCATAGACAATGGGTTCTCAAAGTCCATTTTTGTACTAGGGATAAATACTGGTTCCACTGTCAGAGGTCGCATAGACTGCCCAGCTCCCCCTCCAAGAGATCCTAGCTTAACAACTATATAATATAGATACATACGAGTCACATAGAGATCTGTCCCTTCTAGGTGACACCTAACAGAACCAACTTACCTTATCATGCATCTATCAAAAAATCATAACCCCCTTTCTGTTTGCAATTCAATTTCTGATTCTCTCTCAGCTTCTAATCTCTTCCCACTCCAGCTTCCTTCCTTCAGTCTAGACAATACTCCCATTTTCCTATTCTGGGAACATTCCTCCTACTCTTCAACCCAGACAAGGATTCTAGTGAACATTAGTTTTCTATCTCTCTGACTATGTCCATGTTAGCACTCTTTTGTAAAGGCTCAACTTTTCTTGTGGGTTCTTAGTTTCATCTTTAAAAAATGCATTTTAAATTTAAATTTTATTTTATGTGTATACATGTTTTGCTTGGTACCCACAGAAACAAGAAGGGGACATCTTAGGACTAGAGTTATAAATGGTTCTGAACCACCATGTAGGTGCTGGGACTCAAACCTAGATTCTTTTCAAGAGCAGTCAGTGCTCTTAACTACTGAGTCAGTTCTCCAGCCTCAGCCTCATCTCTTTTAAGACTTATTGTTCTGACACATGGGTATTTTATGAGGAAGGAATTTTACACAGAAGACCTGTATCCTCAGATGGACTTTCACAAGTGATCGTCTCTTGAGCAACTTGGGTAGGCAAAGCCTTGCAAAGACCCTAACTCCAAGGAGGACATCTAGAGTCCAATGCTCTATGCATACTATACATGGATGTTGCTTGTGACTTTGTGGTTACAGTGACATTCTTGACAGTGATTAAAGAGAAGTGACTGTTGTGGCTAAAAGGGCAATGGTGGTTTCAAGACATTTCATTTTTTTTTGAAACAGGGCCTCAAGTATCCCAGAATGGCTTTGAAGTCACTATGTATCCTACTAGAGCTTGAATTTCTGATCCTTCTATTTCTATTTCCTGAGTTCTAGGATTATATATATCTGGTTTATATGGTAGTGGATATTGAACATGCTTCTTACATGCTAGGTAAGTGCTCTATCAACTGAGATATGCCCCTAGTCCCTTTTTTATTTGTTATTATTTGCATGTATGTGTGTATACCTATGAGAATGCATGCCACACAGATCTAGGTGCCTTCGGAGGCCAGAAGAGGACATTAGGTACCCTGAACTTACAGATGGTTATGAACTTCCTGATGTGGGTGCTGGGAAATGAACCTGGCCCCTCTGGGAGAGGAGGAAGCAGAGTCTTCTCCCCATCCGGTGTTTGTTTGTTTGGTATGTAGTCCAGTCTGCTGCTGCAGTCTCCCTAGCACTAGGATGATGGGTGTGTGCTGCCACTCTTAGCAAGTTTTACCTTGTGAACTTAAAGACCATTTATATCGTGAGCGTGAACTTCTAATATGGTTACTTCCGAATACCTGACACAGACTTAGGAAGTTTGTGGAGGGTTCTGTCAATGTGCTAAGATGGGTGTATTCAAACAATATCAGTGATAGCACAAGTATGAAATACCTAAACATAGTCATTTGACAATGTCAAGCATCTGAAAATGATCATTCGTTCAGTTTCTGGGTCCTTTCAGTGTCTATCCAAAGAAACTGACTTACGAAAAGAACTCTTATGTGTGAAGATCCATTGTAATGCTCTTTTGGCGATCAATTGGAGAATGTGAAAGGGTTATTGCCCTGAGAAAAATAAGAATCATGATACCAACATCCAGTAGACTAGTAGCCTTAAATGACACAGTGTTAATTATGGCATGTTTTCATGCTTAAGAACAATGTACATAGTATTGTGACAACTTTGTAAAACTATACAAAACATAGAACTGCATTTTTAAGATTTTATTTTTAATTATTTTTAAATTGTGTGTGTGTGTGTGTGTGTGTGTGTGTTTGTGCCTACAGAGCCCTTAAGGGGACATTGGATCACCTGGAGCTGGAGTTCCAGGCAGCTGTGAGCTTCTCCATGTGGGTTCTTGGAGAACTAGCAAACTAGAGTCCTCTTGGAAGAGTTCTACACACTCTTTACTGCTGGCCAATCTCTCCAGTCTCTTGTTTATTTTTTGAGACAGTGTATTGCCATTCACTCTTCAAAAGAAAAATAAACATCAAAATGTTGTAGTTGCCTTAGAATAGTGAAATTATGTATCCCCCTTCCCGACTTCTTCATATGTTTTCACAACTGTCTGTGAAGACCAGGCAAATTCTGTTGTAATAATGGCAGTCAAGATCAGCAAAAATATTAAATACCACCCCGAGTAGAAAGGTTGCCCTGAGCACTGGAGACTATTGTTGTGAATTGCTCCTCTCCTGCACACACACCTTTACATTTCCTGCAATGACACCTCTGAGCACAGTCTCTGGCATCATCAGCTGTGAGAGGGTTGTAATCTCAAGGAATGCATGCTGGTCTTAACAACCATGGCAACAGACTTCAAAAAACAGCAAATG